GCCTTGAAAACTGCAAGGACTCGTCCAAGCAGTCACTGCAGAGTCGGTAACGACTGAGCGCAGATAAAAATAAAAAATAAAAATAGGCAATTAAACAACTAAATATATATTACATAAATTTGCAACAGCAGATTAGTGAAAAGCATAATTAACAATATGTGGAGTAGAATTAACTTCTAAAGTTTTCTTCAAAGCCAGCAAAGACCGTACGTGCTTTTTGGGCAAGATATCCAAAGTAAGGCTACCATATAGAAAAGGCCTCTCCATAATACTGGGGAAAAAAATTGTATTGGTGGACCACAGAACAGAACCCCAAACGTTAACCTATCAGATAACAAGATAACAAGGTCTCTTTTTTAGGGACTTAGAGGCTACTATGAACACTTTACATTATTTTAGTATTTTTCATAGGAGTGTATTGGGCAAGCAGGACTATTGAACAACGCAATCCTTTTCAAGTATGTTCAGAAATTAGTCCCAGCATATTCATTTTGTCTGATTTTCTGGTGAATGTACATAATTTTGTAGGATGAGCGCATTTAAAATGGTGTGTCACAGTTGAGATGTAGCTATGGATTTTTTATACCTGGAATCTTAGTGGAACTGGCCTACTGGAGTGTTCATGCTGACATTAAGATGCACATGGAAATTGGAAACTGGCCCATCAGATTAGATATCATTACTACCAAAAAGTTAACAAAACACTGAGTGATGTGCTGAATTGAGCAAACACACCCACACATACACACACACAAGACTGTTTGTGTAGCCTTGAATATGGAACACAAGGATTTCCTCTCTGCTTGTTTCAAAGAACAGAGTTGGCCCTTAGAGGAGCAATTTTCCTACAAGTAGAACTTTGCTTTGGCAGCCATCACCTCAGAAAGAAAACAGAAGTTTGAAATCAGTCTCAGGAGTATGCATCGATGCCCCTGGGGCTAAACCAGTAAAGGGCTACAGACCTCCAGCTATAGGGAACCCGTAATTTTGTCCAGATGTTGTTCCCAGGCATGAATGCATTGCATAGCCCTTCATACAGTCTCGGTTCTATGTTCAGCATCTTTTTCTTTGTTTACATGTCATTTTCTTTCTGTTAGAATTCTGTTGTTACTACTTTTTAGAAAAATAATGCTCATTTAGATGTTTTTATTTTGTTGTAGATAAAACAGTTATATACTACTAAGCTGTAAGCTATAGTTTACAAATCATGATGGTTCAGTTCAAACAATAGAAGCCAGCACCCCCTACACCAGCAGAATCGTAATATAACTTCCGGTGATGTGTGAACTCAGCCACAGAATCAAATCAGTTGTGAACTATTATTATTTCATTTTAACATGGGCTTTCAGAGCCATGCAAAACAGTATAACCCATGCATGATAATCAGCTTATAGAGAGAAGTGCAATGATTTGGGAATTGTGCATATTTAAAGCAGCATTTATGTGTCTTAAACAGTTGGCTTCTTGTACCTAAAACAAAAAATACCAGGTGCTCTTTTAACCTATAAAGCTTACATGACTTAATAACTGTTTAGCTGCAGAATCACTCTCCCTACAGAATTAGTCAATCTTATGCAGTCTCCCTAAGAAGGGCTGCACACCCCACTTGAGTTTAAGAGGCTGGCTACCCAGAGGTGCTGATTCTTGAGGACAGCATCCACATTATGGAACACTTGCTGCTCTGAGGTGGGTGTGGGGAGCCCCCATCTTACTTGTGTTCTGCAAAGCTGTGGAAACCAATCTTTTCCAACAAGTTTTTGGTGTGAACTTTTGGACTTGGGCTCCACGTGTAATTTATAATTTTATTTGTATTGATGCTTACTTTTTGGAACCAAGTTGTGAAAGGTCTGAGCAGTATAGAAATGTTGTAATAAATAAATTTTACACTTCAGTTAAAGCCATACAAAACAGGTGAGTTTTCAGAGGCCTTTGAAATATGGCAGCTGAGGAAGTTAGTCTTTTATTCTTTGATGAGTTTCATAAGATGAATTTTTCTGCTCAAAAGCTGTTTCCCCTTTGTCTGCCAGTCTAACTGAAAGTAGGTAGACCAACCAATGCTGTCTTTAACTTCTTTAAGTACAGACAGATTAATAAAGGCAGCAGAGATCCTTCAAATAATCTATGTTGTGATAGATGCATGTTGGTTTATTGCCTGCAAAATTATAGTTTGGCTTCATCTTCCTGGCATTCACCTTACAGATCAAAATATTGGTACAATGCAGTTTTTTCCTGTTGTGACTGGCGCTAGATATCCTTGAGTTTGGGCAGAGATAGTGGTGCATTATGGCAATATTTGGGCAGCATTCAGGGTCATCCTTAGCAGAATGAGGGCTCCCAAATGCAACAGGATTATCTTACTGCATTCTGAAGCGAAGTAATAGGTCTTATTACCTGAAAAGACCATGCAGTGCAGAATGGCAGAGGGCAAAGAATAATGTTTCCCATCAACTGCTATTTGATCTGTGTCTTAGTCAGAGATGCCAGTCATTGAACTGGGAGCCTTGTCATGTAAAACAGGTGCGCTACCATTGAGCTACAGTCTCTTCTCTGTAGGAATGCCTGAGAAGTCAACTATTTTCCCGAGAAAACAACACAGAACAAGAAAATAGTTTTCCATCTAGGTTGGGAGGATAGGATCAACCACCGTATCAAACATTGGTGAAAAATGATCAGGAGAAAGGATTCTCTGTGTGAGGAGTTCTTTGGTAGGTTGCCCTGGCCTTCTCAAGATCTGCTTGAAGATATTATAGCCTAGGGAGTAAAGATTCCCTTAAGGCATCCATCAAACCCATAGCTGAATTGCAAATAGAAATCGAGAAAAATGCTTTCCCTTCAGCCTTTTGTTCATGCAGAGAAGACCTGACCAAAACCTTTGACTCTTCTTCTATTTTTTTTTAAACCAGCATGATGTAAAATGACAAATTCAATGAAATGAGAGAAATCTGTATCACCAGCTAGATCTACAGATTTTCTGCTGTTCTTGTTTGATAGGCTTAGTGGGTCACACTGAAATACTGCTTTGAGGCTGTCAATAAGATCTCAGTGTTCACTGACTGTGTTGTGGGGGAGGAGGATAAGCTTTTATTTGGACAAAATGACAGAAAAACAGTCTTGCAAGTAGTTTTCTTGTTTTTTCTAAAGGGTGCCAGCTCTCCAAACAAATCAGTTTCTTCTACTAAGTATATGCAGACAAAACACTTGAACATCATGAAGTTAGTAATACTCCTGGAAATTAAAGTCTTGTCTGTGCTATAAGTGAATTTTGTTTTCTTTGGCACTGCTTTATTTTACTTTATTTGGCTATCTGAAGAGGAAAATAATGCATGGAATTGCCAGAAGAAAGAAACAATATACATACTGGAGCACTTTAAATGCATTCATTCTCTGACTGTTGACAGCACCCTTGGGAACAATGGTCTGACTCAGTATAAGGCAGCTTGCTATGTTCCTTCAGCCTTTGGATAAATTTCAGGCAAGTCTACTCCCACCCCATCTCATACATGTTTGTTCTTCAGTGACTGAGTACTCAAAAAAGGCTGGTTCTAGGTTTGCATAGATAGTAATTGATTTTGCTGTATTTCTAGGGGCTGCAGGATACATACACATTATTTGTGACTACTTTGAATAATGTGTGTGTGTATATGCATATGTATATATTGATATTCATATTGATGAGTTCTCTAAACATCGGCGTTCCATTCTCAGTTGCGTGTCCTTTCTACTTCTGTAGTCATCACTTCTGTGAGGCTCTGTTCCTGGCATATCTTCAGCCCTTGACTTGAAGCTGAATTTGTATTTACTTGCTGTGCATTTTGCAGTCTGGGGTGGATATAACATATATCGTAATGCCCATGGATTATTGTAACATCCTCGGTGGCATCAAAAATAATGCTCTTACAATAGCAGTCCTTTTAATTTATTTGTACAGTGGTAGTCTTTGCTTTATATATGTCTGGTACTCCTATAGCAAGAATTGCAATGTGTTTCTTTTTTGACGAGTTTATATCCTGCCTTTCAGTGTGTTCCAGTCCCTGGGTAGCTCACAGTTAATTAATAAAATAGATAATAAAACAAAATCATTAAACAAACAAAGCAATATGACATAATTTAAACCTCAGAGCAGTAAAACATATTGGAATGAACACCGGATCCAGAAATGTTTTTAAAGATCTGGCTTAAAATGAAGTCTTTGGCACCAAAAAAAAAGTAACAATAGGCAATATATGAATTTCCCTAAAGAAAGTATTCCAAAATCAATGTGCCGCTCTGGAAACAAAATGTCTGTCCTGTCCCATCTACCTAGTAGGGATTACAGAGGAAAGTTCCAAAGACAATTGAGAATCGTTATTTTATATTGTATTAAAACTGTATTAAAATGAAAGTTCTTGAAAGTGCCTTTGCCCAGTTAAAGGTGTGTGTGGTTCTGCACTCTCATAACCTGGGGCATATATGGCAGCAAAGCGTCATGGTGTTTACTAATTAGCCTCTTTACTAATGCTTTCTAAGAACAGTGTGTCACTTAACACCCGGAGACTCACTGATACTAAATGTTTTAGATGTTTGTCATTATTGCTAGAGCTTTATAGCTAAAAGGTTCTTGCCCTTTTCCTGACAGTCTTGTTTTTTAACAACTTGTTCTGAGTACCAAAACTAATTCATTCTAAGATCTCACATTTCTAGTCTGCAGCCACTAGAGTGCACTGGAAATCCAGTTGTTTTTTCTTTCTCCCAGCTGGAATAAAACTAGGCTTGCTTGTATAAGAATCATGTTAAGAATAAAAAATAATGGACATTATAGTTTTATGCTAGGGAATTTCCAGTGACCAATCTATAGTGTTAGGTAGCAGTAGGGATTACTAATATTGGAACATAACATTTATAGAGGTAGATTCAAAGACTGACTCACTCTGTCCCCCTCCACAGCATTTCTTACTACAGCTTTTCCCAAGCTAGTCTCCATGCTGGCTTGGAATTCCTGGAGTTGCGATCCAATCTTATTGAATAAGTCCAGTTTCACCAAAGCAACACCCTATTCATAATATACCTAGCTTTCAGGCTTTTATTATTCTCTCTTTTTTTCCATCAAAAGTAGTTTTCCATATCTTCAGCTGTTTCTATATGTTAGTCTTCCTCAACCTGAGCCCTCTGTATCAGTTGGGATTACAATTCACATATTTCTCAGTTACATGGAGAAGTATCAGAATTGCTATAAATTGCAGCTAAGGGGAACCAAGGTAGGGAAGATTGCTAGAAGTTCTCACAAGGTGGCAAAAGAAAATGCCTGTTACAATGCAGATCTAGGATAGATGAGTGCAAGAAAAATAGGTAAGCCACGGATATGCTATCTGTTGTATACTTGAGCAAGTTATCTATTTTCATCAAAGGACCCAGGCTTTTACAACTCCAGTTATATTAGGATTACAACTCTCAGGAGCACCATGGGCCATATTGGCTGAGAATTCTGGAAGCCGCAATCTCTGGGCATTTAGAAAGCATTAGTTTAGGCATTAGATGCTTTCAGTTTACACGCATTTCAGTGATACAGTTAGATTTTGCTTTACATCTAGCTTCCTTGTACAACAAAATCCACAGTGTCTTCTCTACATTATTATTTCATTTCCCTTGACTTCTATTTCCTTATAGCACATTGTGATTGCCAACCTTTTTTTTTTTAACAAAGTTTTTCCTCTGGAAAAATAATGTAGGTGCCTTGGGGTTTGAAGACTATTTTGGCCACCCTGCTTGATCACAGGAGGCGGGTGCTATTTTAAACCAGAAACTGGCTAATAGAAATCCAGGCTGCAGCCTGGATTTTTTATTTTTATCATCCACTAGGGACTATTCTTTGCCAGCAACAAGAGTGAATGAGTACAAACAGAAATTCTAGCAACAGTTGGTGCAACTTGTGAATTATTTCTCAGTTAAAGGAAACTTAACATAGAATCTTCATTGTTGAATTTAGCTCTGGTTCAGGAAATCAAAGCCCTTACGTTCAAGGATCCAGTTGGAGGTCCTTTATGGGGCTGCTTCTCTGTCACTAGACCTTCATCATGGTACTGGTGCTCAGAGTAGCATTGGGTGGCTGGATCTAGCTACTCTTAATTTACTCAAGTGCTTTGGAGTGACCTTGGCAGGCTTGGAGCATTGTGACACATTTAAAAGGGTGGTTAGCTCCAGTCACACGTTTCTTCATGAAATGCCAGGTCAGAAAAATGGTATATTTTGTGTGGGAACAGGGCAGGGGTAGAGTGCTTTTACTCTGAGAGGAATGAGATATTGTGAGTGTGAGTTAAGGACTTGCAAAAAGCTCTTTCAAAAAGAAAGGGACAGAAAAATCTTGTTTTTTAGTCCAGTACGTGTAAAGAGTTATGCATCAGCAGGATTACCATTTTGTTGTTTGTGACATAATGTAAATTGGATCTTGTGTTGCATGAATATGCAGCAACAATTTGCAATTTGTATCTAGCACATAGTCATGCTATATGCACAAAAACTGACAGTGCTAAAGGGCAAGGACCATGTCCTACTGAGATGCCTCCTCTTCTGGCAGTTCAGGGCATAAAATCTGTGAATTTCAGTGAAAACCCACCCTAATCATGGGGGGCGGGGGGAGTGGCCTTTTTGTAAATATCAGTTTCTCACAGCTCACTGAGATATTTTTGTCAGAAACTCAATCACCATTTGGTTACAATAGTATTTGTGCAGTTGCAGTCAAGGTTAGCCCACAGAGTCAATGCCAGCATCTTCAGCATGTAATCCTAAGTGGGGCCTTTTTCTTTGATGCTCATTTCTTATTCTCATCATCTGGGTCTGATCTACTTGGCTTCAGGAGAGGATCTGGCAGGTTGCACCCGTCAAAGTCTGATCATGGATCTGACAGTTTCTGTTGAAGTCTAACTTCGGTCTTGAGATTTAAAAAATTACCAGAAGGGAGAGTAGGAACCTTCAAATTCCCTATCTAGTGAGTACATGGAGAGCAGTCTGAGCAAACACAACAGTTCACAATTTTCCCCACTATGTTGAAATGTATTATTGGTTTATGTAATTATTATTTCTCAATTTCCATTAAGCAGATGCCCAACAATGCTGATCCCTGATGCTGTTAGCTGTATTGGATTCAGGGTCCTCAAATGATATCGTTCCTTACTTTTCCCTCAGAGTTTTATCCCATGATTTTTAATTGCTGGGGAAGAAGTATTTACATTTTGATAGGTATTATTTTACTAGAATTTATTTTTTAGTGCTCACCTGTCTTGCTCTCAGGAGAATACATCAGTAAAATGAGTTTTTATGGCAATTACAGAAGTTAGTGTTCATGCTCTAGAGTCCCATATAGGCTTGTATCAATTGTTTCTGTTATGTTGTGTTCTTAATCTCTTTTGCTCTTGCTGCAGATGTTCCGATCTTCTTGTCCACAATGACCTTCCCACCACTAGCATTATCATGTGCTTTGTTGATGAAGTTTGGTCCACTCTCCTGCGTTCTGTCCACAGCATCCTCAACCGCTCCCCCACTCAGTTGATTAAAGAAGTTATTTTGGTGGATGATTTTAGCACAAGGGGTAAGCCAGTATCTCAGAATCAACATGTTCTTTGATAATTTGCTGTTTCAGAACAAAACAAAACATTTTTTTTTTCATCGTGGTAGAATGGTTACTGAGGTTCTCCAATACATTCCATACATTTCCCTGAAATATCAAATTGGCCTTATTTGGCTTCAGTGGGTCTCTGTATCTTGGGTTTTTTTCCCCTTCCTTACAAGTTAGAAACATGTACTGCATGTGTGTATTTGACTTAGAAGCATGCAGGACATTGTTGGGATCATTGGATGCTTGTGTGTGGGATTTGGGGGATGCAGCAAAGAGTGCTTCTGAAGCCTGGTGGAGAGAATTCGCTTTTGGTTCATGGAGAGGGGGAGGTTTCCTAAATGTGTTGTGACAAAGGTGCTTTTAAACTGTTCTTAAATATGAAGGGAAAAAAAAGAGATTTGGCAGTACTTGGGCAGTTGTAGACTACTAAGTAGTGCAGGTAGTTCTTTATCCCTTTCTTTAACAACAGTTTCCCAGAAATGACATTGTGCCGTTTTGTAAGGCAGAAGCAACTGATTGGTGATTGGTACGTCTTTGTGACTGCTTCAAATGTTAGCAATTCTTCTTTTTTCTGTTCAGGAAAAGAAATTCTCTGCAGCCTCATAGGCCTCCTCATCCTAAAAGTGCTTACTGTTTTTCCCAAAATGGCAGAACATTTTACTCCTTCCTTTTTCTGGGATATAAAAGATACTGCAAACCTGGAGACAGATGTCAACCAAGTCCTTGTTTCATTAGATGGGCCTCGGTTTTTATTATCTATATAAAAAGGCGGGTAAAGCTCATAAAGTTGAATATCCCAGTTGGTAATAACATTTTTAAGCAGCTTGACAGGTAGAAGTTTAATTTTTTTTTCCAGATTGCAAGAATATTGTCGATTTCTGGAGAATCCAGTTGGTATAAATAACAAGTATTTTGTATGTGTGCACTCTCATGAGCATTTTACTGGATCAATTCTATTTAGTAAGGGTGACAATCAGCTGGTAATAATAGTAATCTACAGTTTCTGTCCCTTATAACTGTCAGCAGAAAACAATTGTCTCCTATTTTTCAATTTTCTCAACAAGCATGAAAAACAGTGGTTGAGGACTGGTGATCCCTCTTATTATTTTATTAGTTGAGTTTGAAATAGACACAGCCTGTAGTCCATATGCTTGATTCTCCTCTGTTCTAATTTAGCTTACCTCAAGGACAAATTAGACAAATACATGGCACAGTTTCCAAAGGTCCGTATACTTCATCTAAAAGAAAGGCATGGTTTAATACGAGCAAGACTAGCTGGAGCAGAGATTGCCAAAGGTAAGCAGAACAGCATTGATTGATTAATTGCAGTTACCCTACAAGGTCCAGAAATAACTAGAACAATCTAGTTTGTTAAATGAAATTTGTTCATTTAAATTTCATTAGAATAAAGGGAACAAAATAGTATGTTCCTGTGTTTTAATTTTTAAATAGTTTTCTTGCTAATGTAGTATTTCATGATCTTGGTATTGTTTTATTTGCTATGCAGCACCTTGGTGTTTTTAGCAGAAAGCGTTACACAAATATTTAAAATATTAAAACTTCCTGCCCACTGAAGATAGCAATTTAGCAGCAAGTTAATAAAAAGGTTTCTCCAAGAACTATCCCTGAGGCCAGCCCTACTGATATTTCAATGTGAAGATAACATCTCCTCAATTTTAATAGATAGCCACTACAACAAATGTTTGTTCTTATTTTTAATACTTTTATCAATTTTCATTATTATTATATATTTGGAATTATATTGTTTTTCATCTGAATGTTATTGTTATCAACTCTGGGACATTTTTATGAAAGGTAGGCATAAAACTATATTCTTTGCTTTGATTTTGGTCTCAAGTAGCATTTTGAGATATGTGATAGAAATACTTTCTAAAAATCTCTTTTTTCTATTGTATATGAAAATAGTAATCTGTGTTCTACTTGGTGCCACTGTTGCATTTTTCTGTGCATTCTATCACCATATGTCCCTCCTGGATCCTGAATAATTTATCCATACAACTCTGGTCTGTTGGAAATCGTGTGATGAATAGGATAATGTAAATAAATTAATAAAGTCTCCAAGTTTTGGAAGCTGATGGCCATCAAAATGAACTGAGAATTAACACAGTGCTCCTTTAATGAGTTGGTTGGGTTAATTGTAGCCAGAGAAAATGAGGTAATTACATTACACAGTCAATAAGGTTTAATTATGCAAACCCACTGAGGGAAAGTAAATTTTGAGAGAAGTGAATATTTTCACAGGTAATGCCAAAAATCATCAAAAGAAGGAGGCGCTTTTTGACTCCTTAGATAATGTACCTATATTCATTAGTGATTGACTTTCACATTTGGGGGTTCAGGCAGCCTCCCTTATATGTTAAAAAGCATAAAAGTCTTGCAAATCTGCAGGCTAATCCTGTTTCCCACCACTATACACACAAGTCATGTAACCACTAGACATATGTTCTGTGACTATAAGGGGCCTATGTGCAAAGATCCCCTCCAGGCAAGAAGGAATCTGTTATGTTATGAAAGACCTCAGCATTAGTATGCATATAACCCCATTTTGTGGTTGCCAAATATGCAGCAGTGGAGGCATTAGCAGGTGATGGGGCCCGTTATTGCTCACATAGAACTAATAAGCAGCTTCAAGATTGTTCCGCATGAAATAAAATTTGTCCTTCAGTAGATATACCTTTTTATTATTACACCACTGCAGTGTTTGGAAGTCTATGTTAATAAAATGAAAAACTTTATTACCACGTTTTCCAACTCATATGTCATATATATTAATGAAGCTTTGAAGCACATCACAATTTGACTACTATAGAGAAATTTCTAATTAGGTGAATATGGTACTGGCCAGTGGAGGCATTCTTATCAATTAGTGAAATGCCATAAAGGACATTTTTTTCCAGTGGTATATAAAAATTGTATGTTGGAAAAAATGTATGGTATGATTAAGATACAGTTAAGAATTAGCATTTCCAAGGCACTTCTTAGTGTGAAACCTTTTTGTAATTTTTGCCAAAATGAACAGTAAAAACATTATGAATTATATTGTGGCAGGGTGGAAGTTTCTGAATAAATATAATCTGAGGGAAAAATTGCTTAAGCGTTGTCTCCTGTGAACTTCCTTGCTATGTATGGATTATATGTTAAATATATATCCACAGTAGGAAGCTGATAAAATTGTTTTTCAAGGGGCCAATAAATACTGTAAATCTTTCTGAGTTTTTCCTGTTTCCTTGTTATAATGGAAATTACTCATAAATTTACTTCCTCCTTTAGGTGACGTCCTGACATTCTTAGATTCTCATGTGGAATGCAACGTGGGTTGGCTGGAGCCACTACTGGACAGAATTCATTTAAATAGAAAGAAAGTTGCTTGCCCTGTTATTGAAGTGATCAGTGACAAAGATATGAGGTGATTTTTATCCTTCCTTGTTTCCCTTGAAACCACGGGAGTTTAGCATAGATTTTTCCAGAACTGTATCCTAAAAAGGTCCACCAATGCACAGAAGGAGCACAGTGATAACTGAACTGGCCACACCTCCATGACCTAATGTGCTCTGACTCTGTCTTCTTAGTATACAACTTTCCTTTCCTTGAAGGGCATGATCTGACAAGCTCTTCTAGGCATGTTACTTCAAAATACATTTAAAACAGTTATAAAGTAAGAGGGACAACAGGAGAAGCCTTGGGACTCCAACACAGATTGCTACCCCATTTGGGCAAAACACCTGAACAGAACATTGGTAGAACATATTTTCTCAAGATCCTTTCTTATTTGTTGTAAAGTTTAATTCAAAATAAAATAAGAAAACACAATAACCATTTCATAATGTTAAACCATTCATAATTTTGCAGGCTATTGTTTTTAGTCTGGTTTTATTAGCCCCAATCCGCAAAAATGTCATTCAGTTAATAGTAACTTTTCTGATTCAGCATTTGCTTCTTAAATTAATTCCTTGCATGATCTCCATCATTTAGTTACATGACCGTGGATAGTTTTCAACGTGGTGTTTTTACATGGCCAATGAATTTTGGGTGGAAGCCAATTCCTTCAGATGTCATTGAAAAAAATAAGATTAAGGAAAGTGATATAATTAAGTAAGTATATGAAGTTAAACTTTTGTGAACAGAATTACTTTATAAGTAATACATCTTCAGCATGATAGAATGACACATATTTTATGATATGGAAATTTCTTCTTTCCGGATGGAAGCTAACATAATATTAAACGTAGCATGTTTATTCAACTAAAGTTGTTACTTTAAAGCAAAATGAGGAACTTCTGGTTTTCTGGATACTACTGAATTATCTCTGCCCATGATCTCTGGTTCATGGAAGTTGTAACTTGGCAACAACTGGAGGGCCACAAGTTTTCTGCTCCTACTTTAGAATATTGTCTAACATAAATCAAGAGATTTTATAAGATTTTGAAAAGATTAACAATCAAAAATGCCAAAGTTGAACTGCCCCCAAACTAGATTTCTAGTGTTTTGAATGTGCAGGTCTGCCCATTCCCACTGTATTTAATATAACAAGATCATATTTCAAAACATATAGAAGTAGGTACTTGTTATCTGTGTGCAAAAGGACATGTCCTAAAATAGCATAATCTTCATTTTGCCCCTGAATCACAATGTACATACTGATTTCTGGTTCAATTATTAGGTGTCCTGTGATGGCAGGTGGATTATTTTCTATTGATAAGAAGTATTTTTTTGAGCTTGGGACGTATGATCCTGGCCTTGATGTTTGGGGAGGTGAAAATATGGAGATCTCATTCAAGGTATGTTAAACATATTTTCATTTGTTTTGAACTTGACTGAGTACTTTGAATGATTATCAAATTAAGGTTCTCTTGTCAATGGCTAAATCCTGCATATGCAAGTTTCTAATTCTCTTAACTATAGATGATCAGAAATAACAAAGTAAGCAGTATATTGTCTTTAGGATATGATGAAATTTCATTTTAATAGACTGATATCTATGGAAGAGGATATCCATAATACCCCAAAGCCTGGTAAATCAAAAGTATGTTATCATGGCCACACAGATGATGCAAATAACATTATTTGTGTCTGTTGCATGCAAACTCAGTTGCACTGAAGTCAAGAAAGCTGACGTTTCCCTGTACATAGATATGAATATTAGTTATAATTCTATAATTAAAATGTATTAATATTTTAAATTTGAAGCTTCTTAGGCAATATATGTGGTATTATCAAAATACAACTTTCATTAAAAAATCCTAAACTTCCCTATCAACCAAGACATAAAGCTCAAAATACTGACCAATCATACAATACCTACATTTGCATTTAAATCTTCATAAAACAATGATTAAAGAAGTGTTACCATAATTAAGTATGTAGTTTCAGTCACCACATCATAGACTGAGACCTCACCATTGGCTTGCATCAAAAGAATGTTTTGAAACAAGTTTGCAAACTAATATTTGCACTCATTATAACTGGTGTAATGTCTGAATTGATAAAAGGTGGTTCCATTATTAACATTTCCCTGTCTTTTTTTTTTGTATTAGCTCTGTTTTTATAGTTTTTAATGTTTTTTAATAATTAATAATGATAGTGGTTTTAGGGATTTATTAATTGTTTTAGTTCTGTTGTATGCTGCCCATTCACTGGCTTTGTGAGATTGGCAGCTATATAAATTAGATAAATAAAATAAACAACTGTTATGGCCATTGCTCTACTTCTGAAGGCTTCAAACAACAAGAGAGTAGTTCTGAGTAGATGGAAGTTGAAATTAGAGAAGGAGTTCTAAACCATGAGTTGTCCAGAATTTTGGAACTCCCAGCCATTGTTTGAGCTGGTTGGTGCTAATCATAATTTGATATGTTCTGAATCAAGTAGATGTGGAATTTCTCATAATAAAACAAATTAAGACATATCATATATATCTACATGCTGCAGAAGATGGAATAAAATTGCCAGAAATTGTATCCATTGTTGGCCTGCTTTTATTTTATCAGGTTTGGATGTGTGGAGGAGAAATTGAGATTATCCCATGTTCCAGAGTAGGTCATATTTTTAGGAATGATAATCCATACTCCTTTCCTAAAGATCGCCTCACTACAGTAGAGCGGAATTTGGCCCGTGTTGCAGAGGTTTGGCTGGATGAATACAAAGATCTTTTCTATGGACATGGTTACCACCTCATTCAAAAAAACTTGGAAATTGGAGATTTGACTCAGCAGAAGAAACTGAGGGAGCAGCTTCAATGCAAAAACTTCAAGTGGTATTTGGAAAACGTGTATCCTGATTTGGAGGCCCCTCTCGTTAAAGCTAATGGGCTGGTATGTTCATTTTACCAACTCAGGTTTGTGCTATGTGCTTGTGTCAACTGTTTAAGCTTAATTTCTTTTCTTCCTGTGCACTATAAAAATCTCATATTAGTAGCAGCAAAATATATTAAGTTGTGTTAGTTGAATTTTCCACCAAGTGAAGTTCTAAAGAAGTGGGTGGGCAGGTTAGTTGGTTTATGCTGTCACCTTGTTGCATAATGCAGCTTTGTTGTAATAGTTTAGAGTAATTTAAAAACTTCATTGGGGACTTCTGTATACACAGTATACTGAATCACAATCTTGAGGGCAAAATCCACAATATGAAAATCAAAGGACATTGTTATTTTTTTTTAATCTCAAATTCATGTCTTCAGGTTCTAATGACAATATGCTTATTCAAAGTAAAACATAGAAAAACATTTTACAGTTTGTTATTACTTGTCCCTATGAAGGCACCTAAATTGTCAGATGACAAAGAGGGTGGAGAATGTAAAAGCTTTGCTGTGTCATTCGTTGGCATCACACAGTTGCCAGGATACATTCAGGAAACTTACAAAGCATAGACAGAAGGATAATAGCCTTTTCCACTGGGTATAGCACAGATATTGCTCTTGCTTTTGCTGTTTGAGTTCTGCTGCTTTAAATTCATAGCTGGAAAAATTGGACTCAGTTGGTTTCAGGTAGAGGAAAATGACAAATCAGTGTTGGGAGTAAAATTGTTGAAGAGATCTTGATGAGCAGTTAATATTGAAGTGTCTTAGTGGGATATTTGAAATTTATATATTTATGAAATTTTATTTATTTATGAAATTTATATGCCACCTCAATGCAGCTGGACTCTAGAGAATTAATTTAATTAAAAACAAATTTGTGAGTGGATGGTGGATATGTGTGGTATCTCCATGTTAGGGATAAATTAATTGAATGAGAATTGTAGAGGCCTGAATGGAAACTAATTTTGGGGGAGATTAGGGATTACATAAAGCGGGGAGGGGGGGAATGAGGCAATTTTCAACAGGTCTCTACAAATGAAGGGTCTTTGTACTTCAGACATATGTGTGATTACAGTCTTCCCCCATGGATAGCTGCCCTGGGCTCCATAAATTCTCTGCATAGTCCTTGGCTGATATGAACATTTTGAGATAAATTAATACTGATGAGTTATGGCTGCTGATATTTGGAGCTCTGATATAAACTCTGCTCTGTATTCTGGTTGCAAAGTGAAAATAGTCAGTTTCCTTTATCTGTACCAGCATTTAGTTTCCAGCAGTGATTATGCAGCTAACTCTGATTCTTCTGTTCCCAGCAACTAGTTTTTGAAGGTGTGTTGCTTCAAAAGATAGAGAAAGTTAATTTAACTGTCAGGACTAAGAGAAAAATCTTCCCTGGTTGGAGCTGACATCAATAAGGTAGACGGTGCTCTGGGGAAGGATAAAGCCAAGCAAAGTTATTGTTATTGTTCAATGGCTTATCTGTGCAAGTAGCTGAATTTACACATTATGGAACAGTATAGTTTAATTAATTATAATAAAAAATATTATGTGAAAGCTTAGATTAACTAAAGCCTCAATAGGCAGTGGAGGTCAATATTTGCAGGCTCATCTGGTGATGACAATGACATAAAGAAGATTACAACTTGGAGTGGAAATGGAGTAAATGGTAAAGATGGAAATTTCAAAGAATGTAATGAGCATGCTTGGAATAAACATAGACTTTGGTTGGTCTTGTGGCATATTGTCCAAAATGTGCCCAAACTGACTACCAGTATCTGTGCCATTAGCACAGAATGCTGCTTCTGGCACTGGTATGACTAATGTTGGTAACTTAGTATACACCTTTTCTACCTCATTAAAAAGTTTTAGGTGAAGTCTCAGGTTCTGAATATGGGACTGACCAATTTTTGGTAGTGTCAAGAGTAGATCTGGGGAAAAACTGACATGGAAGAAAAGGGAAGAAGTGAAAGAAACTAAGTGAAATTCAACTGGTTGATGAGTCATATATGAAAACACATTAGAAAATTGAGTAATATTTCATCAGAATGAATGGAAACTGGACTGAAGGAAAATGGATGTGGAAGCACCGTGGAACAGAGCGAAGGGAATTAAGTTAAAGAGTGCAGCAGAAATGTATGGACTTACATTATAGGGAAATATGAAAAATGTGCTTGGAATGAAAAAGTGAAAGAGAGTGAGAAGGAAAATGTATACAAGAGAATGATTGCTACAGAAAGTGAGGACAAGGGAAAGATGAAATGTGTTCAAGAAGAGAAAAAGATACAGGAATGGTGAAGAATGCATTAAAGAAGACAAGAAAAGAGTAAGATTAAAAAACACAGAAAAAGCAGAGTGATCACTATGGACATAAAGACTTACTGTACTGTGCAGGTGAAAAGGTCTAAACAAGGGACATCCAGCAGAATGAATGGAATTTTGAATAAAAGTGATGAAATTATTTGGGATGGAACTAAAGTGAATAAGTACTGGAAGAACTATGTTAGAAATGTGTATGGGAATTATAATGATATATTGACGATTGAAATTGAAATATTGTTCTAAATGTTAGTGTTCAAGAAAAAAGACATGAAAAAGAAGTCATAAATATTCTGAGAACGTTGTGAATGCAAAAAACTACAGGGGGTGATTTGCTAAGTTTATCCATTTGTAAGAATTCTGATTGAAAAGGTTGTGAGAAGTGACAATGAGCAAATTTAGGGAAGTGCAGTGAGGCTTTATGGCAGACAGAAGATATGCAGACAAGTGTTCTGCTCTTCACGTCATTGGCAAATGTAAGAATATAAAAAACAGTTTATTGTATGTTTGCTAATTTAGAGAAAGTGTATAATGTGAATAGGTTTGAATAGTAGGAACTTTTTTTGTAAATTTGGAATTGATTGATTGCTAAATGAGATAAGAGCAACATATGATTGAAGTAAAATAAATGGAATGCTTGGGAAATGGTTCAGGATTGAGCAAGAAGATGTGTGACATTTCCTTAGTTTAATATATTTATGGATAAACATATAAGAAATACTTATTAGAGGTTTTTTGGATGGGGATGTAAATATATGTGTACTTTAGTGTGCTCATGATGCTCTGATGAAGGTTGAGAACCTGAATGATTTTCAGTGAATGTTATAGAGATTGTAGGATGTCGAAGGACTATGAAGTATGCAGAATAATGTATCAAAGATCAATGTACTGTAATTATATATGATTGAGAAAGTTGAATGAACAGTTGCAAGTTATACATGAATGATGAAAAACTGCAACATGTAGATGAATTTGTGTATCTTGGTGGAATATTTACTAAAAATAGGAACATGGATGGCAAAATTTCAAGATGTAAAGATGCTAGTAGAAAGGTAGAAGGTAGTATGTTGTCTGTTGTAAGGATTAAAAAATTGTCAGGAGAAGCAAAAATGGCTGTTTATAAGAACATGTTTCTGCCCTCTTTGACATAATGGTGAAAGTTGGGTATGTCAGGAGAAACAAAAAAAGTTAGGTAGAATGCAGTGGGAATAGGTTAAGAAATGTGTGGTAAAACAGGAAGACCTAGGATTAAGAATGAATGGGTGCTGAATGAAGGTGGATTAAACATGAAGGTGAGTGACCAGTACGAAAGACATACACAGCAATGGTTTGGTCATATAGAGAAAATGAATGAGGATTGAATTTCAAAATAAATCTATGAAAAAATCAATGTACTTGAGAGGAAGGGGAAGTCTGAGAATATTATATTTGGATGGAGTTTATGAGATCCTGAAAAAGAGGTAGGTGAAAAGAACAGAGCTAATTAATGTAATATCCAGTATGTGGATTGGTGGAAGCAAGGATAGTTTGCAAGGTATGGAGAGATATAGTGAATGGTGTTGGTATAAACTAGATTTATCTGTGTTTCTTTTTTCTTATTTCATATCTATAATTTATAATGTCTATAATTTATTTTGCTTAATATTTCTTGCTTCTTTGTTGCATATTGCATATTATTCTGGACACTGAAAGGAAATAATGTGATGGGTATGTATGTATGTACATATGTTGAGCCACCGTTACATGTGTTCACATAACACACCAGACTAATCTAAAGTAGAAACAAACTGCATAATGGCTTAGAGCAATGAGTGAACCTAACTTATACATACATTTGATACAAACAGATATTTATCACCTCTACTTTTTGGAAGCACCAGCTACTGGTGCTTGGTTCCCTATACTGCCCTGTCTTACTATAGTCACGCTCTTGAGGTCATGGAAGTAGATGCTGCAGAATTCATGCATTCTGCTCTAAATCTGCATTTTTTCTTAAGTGCTGTATTTTCTTTCTCAAGATTTTCCATTGTTACTCCTGGATATTTATTTATTACAGTACAACATTTCTGACTTGAAATAAATTAACTATAATGATAGGATAGTAGTTCTGTCAATGGAAAGTTGTTAGACATGAATTCTGGGTTCTGAGACAGTATGTTGGGATGTAGAAGGGAAAAAAGCAGCACGTTTCATAATTTTTTTTCCCGGACGCATCTGGCAGGAATTTGTGTAGGAAGCTGGTGGAGATCCTTGGAACGATATTTGTAAATTAACAAAATGGGGAATGTTTAAAATTAGTAAGCCCCAAACACTAATTCTCCTTATAAGAGAGAATAACAATAAGCTTTGTTATTCTTAACTTCCACAACCTATATAATTTGTTGTTATATATTTATATTATTATTATATATTTATATAATTATTACCTAAAGGAGATGTGTTGATATCAAGCAGATGCTTCAGACATTCACCCTAATTATAGGAGTGTTCACTTCAAAGCCCTTAAGGATTTCATACTTTCAACTTGCAACCACTAGAGTGCACCAGAAATCCATTTTGTTCCTTTCTGGAATAAAATAGGAATTGTTTCTATTGAGTCCCAAAGCCAAGAACTTCTATAAACTGTGCTATAATGCATCTTAATGAACTTCTAATGCCCATTCTCCAGTTCCAAAGATAATTTAGTAGCTATAAGTGATAGCT